AAAAATTTTTTTCGAATATTTTAAAACAATAAAATAATCGCCCTTTTCAATAAATCAATTTAAATTTCAATGCTCCCACGCATCAAAAGTCCAAAACTTAAAAATAAGTCGAATCTCAAAAATAAAATACACGGCCCTAACCCTGTGCATTAAATTTAAATCCTCAAAATTCTAAAGTTAAAACTGAACTTGACTTCCACAAATCTTTCAAAACTTTCCAAAACTTTCAAATACTTCCCTTTTGCACCAAGTTGTAGAGTCTTTGGTGTTCAGTCTTCCTCATTAGATAGAGACGTATCGAATCTCTAAATCTTCTTTGACAAGGAAACAAAGAAGTCAAAATAAATTCGAAAGTCTCTACGTTTCCGCCACTAAAGCAGCCCTGAGCGAGTCGTGTTGAGAGTAAAGATCCTATTATCCCTATCAGTAATGTTCTGAAAGATAACACGTGTTATACCTAAGTAAGGTACTAATATCACTGCTAAGTTCTAAGTGGAAAGCTAGCTATGTGAGTAAGACTATACTGTTCTGAAACTAGATTCCAAAAACTAGATCCCACCACCAAACTAGATCCCACCGTGGCCTCCAGATATAGAAAACGGAGTACTCTTGGTATTTAGTGTATGCTAGTCAAGCTCTAGTCACGTAGCACGAACGGCAGGGCGTACCGAATAGTAGAAATGAAACGAGTAACTAAAAAGGATCTAATTAAATATAAAGGAAAAGTAATACAAAGTGAACGTCAACAGATAAAAACCTCCAAGTGTTCGCTCTAATCAATTGACGTGATTATAGATCACTCGACGTGTCTAATCACAGCTGGTAGTGCTCAGTAAGACTGGCTACCGTCAATTTGAATCCCTTAAAGTGATTAAGGGGCAACTAAGAAGTGAGCTCTCCACATCCGGCTCTCCGGGTATGCTCCCAAAACTCGTCACGCCACACTGCGTGACGGCACAACGCATCTGCTTGCACCACGTGACACGCCGTCTCGCCAATGAGCACTCCACTAGCAGTCACGCTGTGGTCGCGAGGACCAACCACAGGCCTGGCTGTAAGTCAGGTGCAAAGTGAGCGGACGGCTCGTTTCAGACAGTTAGTCTGACAGTAGTTCTGCCAGCCAACCGACTTACACTCAAAATGTGTAACTCCCAAATACGAACATAATAAAACATTGGTTATTATATACCCGGAAATACATACTAAATTATACGTCCCTTAAACGTTATACTAAAACTACGTTATCCTAAAAGATATCTCTAAATACCATATTACAACATCTCTACCCAAAAATTTTTTTCGAATATTTTAAAACAATAAAATAATCGCCCTTTTCAATAAATCAATTTAAATTTCAATGCTCCCACGCATCAAAAGTCCAAAACTTAAAAATAAGTCGAATCTCAAAAATAAAATACACGGCCCTAACCCTGTGCATTAAATTTAAATCCTCAAAATTCTAAAGTTAAAACTGAACTTGACTTCCACAAATCTTTCAAAACTTTCCAAAACTTTCAAATACTTCCCTTTTGCACCAAGTTGTAGAGTCTTTGGTGTTCAGTCTTCCTCATTAGATAGAGACGTATCGAATCTCTAAATCTTCTTTGACAAGGAAACAAAGAAGTCAAAATAAATTCGAAAGTCTCTACGTTTCCGCCACTAAAGCAGCCCTGAGCGAGTCGTGTTGAGAGTAAAGATCCTATTATCCCTATCAGTAATATTCTGAAAGATAACACGTGTTATACCTAAGTAAGGTACTAATATCACTGCTAAGTTCTAAGTGGAAAGCTAGCTATGTGAGTAAGACTATACTGTTCTGAAACTAGATTCCAAAAACTAGATCCCACCACCAAACTAGATCCCACCGTGGCCTCCAGATATAGAAAACGGAGTTCTCTTGGTATTTAGTGTATGCTAGTCAAGCTCTAGTCACGTAGCACGAACGGCAGGGCGTACCGTATAGTAGAAATGAAACGAGTAACTAAAAAGGATCTAATTAAATATAAAGGAAAAGTAATACAAAGTGAACGTCAACAGATAAAAACCTCCAAGTGTTCGCTCTAATCAATTGACGTGATTATAGATCACTCGACGTGTCTAATCACAGCTGGTAGTGCTCAGTAAGACTGGCTACCGTCAATTTGAATCCCTTAAAGTGATTAAGGGGCAACTAAGAAGTGAGCTCTCCACATCCGGCTCTCCGGGTATGCTCCCAAAACTCGTCACGCCACACTGCGTGACGGCACAACGCATCTGCTTGCACCACGTGACACGCCGTCTCGCCAATGAGCACTCCACTAGCAGTCACGCTGTGGTCGCGAGGACCAACCACAGGCCTGGCTGTAAGTCAGGTGCAAAGTGAGCGGACGGCTCGTTTCAGACAGTTAGTCTGACAGTAGTTCTGCCAGCCAACCGACTTACACTCAAAATGTGTAACTCCCAAATACGAACATAATAAAACATTGGTTATTATATACCCGGAAATACATACTAAATTATACGTCCCTTAAACGTTATACTAAAACTACGTTATCCTAAAAGATATCTCTAAATACCATATTACAACAGACGTCCGAAATGTGACGGTTTTTGTTCAATTTCGCCATATTTTCGGACCGCCAAAATTTCGGTCGTCGCACATTGGTCCGCCACAAAAATGTCTCGTAAGGTATGCAAAAATCGTCCTCAAATACTCCATCTTCATACATTTTGATGATGCCATCTCTTCAGCATATGTTCTTTAACTGTTTCTCATCACTACCCCACATTCCTCAATGCTCAGGGTGACAGAGAAAATGCAGAATCTTGGTCGCTATTTAAAAAAAAACACCTATGTTCTGGGGTTCATATATAGATATATACCCGTTAGGTTGGTTCATAAAAACCGAAGTTGATCCAATCGCTCTGGGTCCAAGCTTATTAGTTGATACCTTGGCTAGAAAACTGCCTTGAAAAATTTCGTGGCTCAACTTCATCGGAATCTGGACCCACGGGCCACGCCCTTATTTTTCGAGGCCCTTATACAGGTAAAATTCTTAAAATTGCCGTTTTTGATCTTTAAACGTCTAGATAGGGCCCCGAAAGCAATTTAGTCTAATATTAACGTGATAGAAAGATTAACTTTGGTCAAGGTCTCATGTCTCTACGACCTTGGCATCAACCTATATTCCGGGGGTCGTATAGACCTATATTCTGGGGGCCCGTAAAATTGTGGTGGCCATAACTTTTTTCCAAATTGTCAGTTTGCAGATGTCTCGATGAAAAGATAGCTTAAAATAATACTTATACTCATACCAGTAGTCTTAATGGCATGTGTTGGACAGATTTTTGTCATGACCATTTTTCGCCATATTTACTCCTCTAGAAAATGACAACATCGTTGAAATCTTTCGCTGTCATGACCAAATATACCAAAATACCTCATGTAGGTCCAAAATTCTTATCCAGAAAAATTAGTTACATGTTTTACTCCAACCTAGCAGTAACAGATCCCATTAGTATCGCTTATCTTGGTTAGAACTGTATCCACTAACATGACCTATATTTTGGGGGCCACCTATATTCTGGGGGTCATATACCCGTAACATAGTACAAGTAATTGTACGCTTATTTTGTACAGAATTCAATGTCTTTGTAGGGATCCGGTTTTATCACAATTATTTCAATGCTGTTAGATACCTAGCTTTTTCTGCAAAAGTTCACATACGTAAACGTACTTATCAATAATTCTCACGTATTTCTGGGGAAGATCAGTTTGGTTCCCCAGTTCTGCCACTGATCAATTTGCGCTGTCTTTGAAAGGTTTCCGTTTGCAAGAGATTAAAACTCTGTACACTTGTGCGTAGTTATATTTGTAAGTGAATAATTTATTTAAATGGCAAATAATAGTGAAAGAGTGAATATTAATTGTTCGTGGTGTAACCGCGGCGAAATTCTTGTTATGAATAAAACCCGGCAATGAAGTTTTTGATATTTAGTTATTTTTTAGGGAAAGATTAGACTTGGGCTTTGTTTTTTAACTATCCCTTGTTTAGAACTTTGATTTAATAATAAAACCCGTCCTTGTAACAACATCCCCTCTGCACTCAGTTGTAACAATCCCCCTCTGCACTCTGTTGTAACAATCCCCCTCTGCACTCTGTTGTAACAATCCCCCTCTGCACTCAGTTGTAACAATCCCCCTCTGCACTCAGTTGTAACAATCCCCCTCTGCACTCAGTTGTAACAATCCCCCTCTGCACTCAGTTGTAACAATCCCCCTCTGCACTCAGTTGTAACAATCCCCCTCTGCACTCAGTTGTAACAATCCCCCTCTGCACTCAGTTGTAACAATCCCGCTCTGCACTCTGTTGTAACAATCCCCCTCTGCACTCAGTTGTAACAATCCCCCTCTGCACTCAGTTGTAACAATCCCCCTCTGCACTCAGTTGTAACAATCCCCCTCTGCACTCAGTTGTAACAATCCCCCTCTGCACTCTGTTGTAACAATCCCCCTCTGCACTCAGTTGTAACAATCCCCCTCTGCACTCAGTTGTAACAATCCCCCTCTGCACTCTGTTGTAACAATCCCCCTCTGCACTCAGTTGTAACAATCCCCCTCTGCACTCAGTTGTAACAATCCCCCTCTGCACTCTGTTGTAACAATCCCCCTCTGCACTCTGTTGTAACAATCCCCCTCTGCACTCAGTTGTAACAATCCCCCTCTGCACTCAGTTGTAACAATCCCCCTCTGCACTCAGTTGTAACAATCCCCCTCTGCACTCAGTTGTAACAATCCCCCTCTGCACTCAGTTGTAACAATCCCCCTCTGCACTCTGTTGTAACAATCCCCCTCTGCACTCAGTTGTAACAATCCCCCTCTGCACTCAGTTGTAACAATCCCCCTCTGCACTCAGTTGTAACAATCCCCCTCTGCACTCTGTTGTAACACTCCCCCTCTGCAGGACCTACAAGACGTGAGGAACTACATGAGTGAGTGTCACGCCCGAATAACCCACCACAACGCTAAGTTAGACAAGCGAGCCAAAGTGCTGGAGAAGGAACTCAGAGTCGCCATGGACTCTCAGAATCACGTTCGTTTATTACTTTACTAGCTTACTAAACAACTCTAATTCATCTACTTCATATACTTCATCTACTTCATCTACTTCATCTACTTCATATACTTCATCTACTTCATATACTTCATCTACTTCATCTACTTCTTCTACTTCATCTACTTCATCTACTTCATATACTTCATCTACTTCATCTACTTCTTCTACTTCATCTACTTCATCTACTTCATCTACTTCATCTACTTCATCTACTTCTTCTACTTCATCTACTTCATATACTTCATATACTTCATCTACTTCATCTACTTCTTCTACTTCATCTACTTCATATACTTCATCTACTTCATCTACTTCATCTACTTCATATACTTCATATACTTCATCTACTTCATCTACTTCGTCTAGTTTCAGAAGACACGATTAAGCAGCAATTGTTTCCAGAGTTTCAAGTTTGCACTGCTGACTATTTGCCACTAATTTCCACCTAATTACATCAGGAACTAGAGCAGAAGCTGTTAAAGTCCTGGCTCCACCTGGTACACGAGCGGAACACTCTGGTGAGGAAACAGGATGATCTAAACTCTCTGCAGAACGAGGAGGACCTAGAGGAGAGGTGCTGTGTGGTGCTCAAGGAGATGAGGAGATATCAGAACATGCGCGGTAAATATTAATACATTTAATAATTCAATAGATTAACAATATGGTTACTTACTTGAGAGCTAGGTGTTTTATTTTATTATTGGCGGTATACACAGTTTAACTTGAACCATAATGATGTTATGAATCATGATGAGAATACTGTAACTGATACTGGGATAATATTATCTAATTTGTTTCAGACACGACTAAAACAGTACATGACGTGGAACGAGAAGAACAGCTAGAGGAGGAGTATCGGGATATTCTTAAGAAGCGGGAGCTCTTGCTCAGGTAAACACTAAACACTAAACACTAAACACTAAACACTAAACACTAAACACTAAACATTATCACGAAATTATATTGATTTTTCATTTCATTGTTATGATTGCGTCCAAATTCTATCTTACTTGAGCTATTAATACTTCCTACAACCCTACAATTGTTGCGTTAATATCTATTGACCCGTCGCAGGATACGAGACGATATCAACACAGTTTCAATGGAGGAGGAAGCTGAGTTCCGCTCTGTAATAGAGAAACCGAAACTTCTCCAAGATCAATCCTCCTGTAAAGTCTCGTGAGGAAAAAAAGTGAGCTTAAAATAGAGTAGAAAATACAGGGAACAGGGAATAGGAAGAAAAGGGTAAAAAGGGAAAAGAAGGAGAAAAAAGGGGATAAGGAAGAGAGGATACAGAATGAGGGAGGGAGGGAGGATAGAGAGGGAGGGATGGAGGGAGGGAGGGAGGGAGGGAGGGAGGGAGGGAGGGAGGGAGGGAGGCAGGGAGGGAGGGAGGGAGGGAGGGAGGGAGGGAGGGAGGGAGGGAGGGAGGGAGGGAGGGAGGGGGGAGGAGAGAGGGAATGAGGGAGGGAGGGAGGGATGGACGGAGGGACGGGGGGAGGGAGGGAGGGAGGGAGGGAGGGAGGGAGGGAGGGATGGAGGGAGGGAGGGAGGGAGGAAGAGAGGGAATGAGGGAGGGAGGGATGGACGGAGGGACGGAGGGAAGGAGGGAGGGAGGAGGTAGAGAGGGAGGGAGGGAGGGAGGGAGGGAGCGAGGGAGGGAGGGAGGGAGGGAGGGAGGGAGGGAGGGAGGGAGGGAGGGAGGGAGGGAGTAAAATGGGATACCTGGGACTGAGATGTGATAGTGTTGTGACGTGGGTGGGGGAGCTAAGTGTTTCAAGCTATTCTTTTAGTTTAAGATACCTTCAATCATTATTAGAATTACATATCTTCAGGTAGTTAAAAGTTGTCTCATCTTCTGCCAACTAACACGACCCTCTCACGTGCGCTTACTAAAGGACAGTTACACACACAGTTATAATGCTGGTGGTTACTACTGGTTACTACTGGTTACTACTGGTTACTACTGGTTACTACTGGTTACTACTGGTTACTACAGTAATAATGCTGGTGGTTACTACTGGTTACTACTGGTTACTACTGGTTACTACTGGTTACTACTGGTTACTACTGGTTACTACTGGTTACTACTGGTTACTACTGGTTACTACTGGTTACTACTGGTTACTACAGTAATAATGCTGGTGGTTACTACTGGTTACTACTGGTTACTACTGGTTACTACTGGTTACTACTGGTTACTACTGGTTACTACTGGTTACTACTGGTTACTACTGGTTACTACTGGTTACTACAGTAATATAGCTGGTATAATCCTGTGTATTTTGAGTGGGAGAGGCTGGATAGTGCATAGGTTTTTTACTTAAACTAAAGAGATCTACAAATATTTTCAACTTTAGTCCCGGTTATGCTGCTGTAAAACCCAGGTTAACTATAAGGGGACCCATTTTATTTACGATACTACAGGGTGGGCCACAATTCACAATCTGTACACTGTGTAGCAGTACAAACATGTTGAATAACGCACATAATTAAAGCCTTATAGAGTCATACTTAGATTCCCTGACAGTTTCCATCACAGTGGGTGAGCCACTCCCTCATTTCCTCTATTTTCGTTATCAAATGGAAACGCTCTGAACTAGAAAGTCGATATTTACTGAATGCTATTATATATGTTATTTAAGTGTTGTGCGTGTTAAGATGATTCTGGCCCACCCTGTATAATGCCCTAGGACATGAGATTTGTAAATATTTTTGTCTTGATTTTTCTTTAGATTTTCCTTCTATCAGATAAAAAATGAATTCTGAATTGTCACTGTCTTGTGAGAGCAGCCTGCATGAAAATAATTCTGAATCAAATGAAGTATTTCCAGTAATACTAGTAAAGAGTCACGTTGAAGCCACGTGACTGCCCACGTGACTGCCCACGTGACTGCCCGCGTGACTGCCCACGTGACTGCCCACGTGACTGTGTATATAGCTCACGAGACAGCGACAGTTTCACACAGAACAATTATTTCTTCTTGTTTTGATTTCCTTAATTAAAGCTTTTATTATCAAGTTACTTCCTTGAAACACGAGGTTACTAGTGGTTACTATTGGTTACTACTGGTTGCTATAGTTACTTGTTTTTATGATTTAAATTTTAAAATGATTAGATTAAGTTATTACTCATCTGAATATTATTATTATAAAAATATATTTCTCAAATTTAAGAACCTTTTTCGCTTTGCCTGGAGCAGTTCACTTTCAATGAAAGAAATTGAAGAAAAGAATAAGTTTTAAGGGATGTTGCGAGAAACAGGGTTTTTTTATTTAGTATTGAAGTTTAACAGTCACCACCTAGTGAGTCAGTTCTTTAATCCTGATATTGTTAACATTATTGCAGTGTCATGAAAAGACTACTCAACCCATAAACGGGGAAATACAATTAAACACTTCTTTTTATCGTCACAATCATCTTTGTGCTCACCACGGTTTAGGTCAAGTTCATACAAGTTGGTGTCAATTCTTTTGCATGGAACTGTGACCACATTTCATTGTAAATTATGATTATTTTTGTATAATGTTGTTGGAATAAAGTATGTAGTGCGCCATCGTGCACTAATAAAGTATGAACAATGTATCGTATTATTTCCGTAAAACTGAATGATGTTATTTTTATTGTACCTAACAAATGGGGTCACTTCTTACACGTGCTGCCGCAAAACTCACCCAGTTTGCAGAGACAACATAAAAATGCGGTGGATGCGGAACCGCACGTATTAATGACTCAATACCGCCCGTTTCCACTGGCCGATATTCGTTCTGCTGTGTAATTTAAAAGTTTTGAGATAAGTCTACGGACAAGGATAAACGAACCATTTTTAAACGCTTAATATCAATAATAAAGTAATGTGGAGAAAACATTCGATAAATGTAAATAATGTTGGTAAGTTGTTAATTAATTGGAAAAAGTCCACCTTCACTATCTTTATCTAGCTCTACATACCGGACTTAATTTGAACGGACATTAATTGGACGGCGGAGGCCCTAGCGTTCATTTTAATGTACGTTCAAATAAAGTCCGACAAGGCAGTTAAATTAAATATATTAAATTAATGCCTCTGAGAGTTCATTTTAATCATTAATGTCCGTTCGACTTCAAAATTGTGTCCGTTCACAAAATGTCCGATAAGGTAGTTAACTTTAAGAGGGTACAGGTGCATTTTACTAAAAATAGATCCTAATAGAAAAATGTTTACCAAATGTTAACTTTGAAATTTCATGGTAAAATAACTAAACACAGGTTCTGAGTTTCATGTAACAGAGCATCGACCGGCAGCACTGGTTGTACCATGTACACCTAGTAACACCTTAGTAACACCTTAGTAACACCTTAGTAACACCTTAGTAACACCTTAGTAACACTAAATTGGTAAAATAACTAAACACAGGTTCTGAGTTTCATGTAACAGAGCATAGACCGGCAGCACTGGTTGTACCATGTCTTTGTTTCATCCCCCTCAAAACCGTAGCAATAGTTGAAATGTTTCACACATGTCGACGGCTTGGGATCTGAAATTATACACATCAATGTTCAATTTTGTTCGGCTGCAAAACCGTAAATACTTATTTCACCTGATAATTTTTGGCAATATTTCAAGGTCCTTAAGTTTAACAATGCGCGGCTAAGCCGCGCATTGTTAAGGACCTTGAAATCTTGACCTCAACACTGTTAAGGCTGAAGGCTCACTGTCGATAGCACACTACCTTAACCTATATACAGGGTAAATAGGTAGTATATATACTATATAGGTTTATATATACATATAACAGGGTTACATTTTGGTGAGTTACTTATCCGATCCCAGCAGAATGGATTAAAATATGCCCCTTAAGTTTTCTATGCTGCCTTTTAGCATACCTTTGTATTTGTGGTTGATGAACAGGGTTACTAGTGGTTACTATTGGTTACTATAGTTACCTTTGTATTTGTGGTTGATGAACAGGGTTACTAGTGGTTACTATTGGTTACTATAGTTACCTTTGTATTTGTGGTTGATGAACAGGGTTACTAGTGGTTACTATTGGTTACTATAGTTACCTTTGTATTTGTGGTTGATGAACTTTTCGCCCAGTCGTTCTATACACTGAGTTTTAACAAACATTTCTTGAAGACAACTACAGTCCTGAACGTTGTGCTTCCTTGGTCTGCAGTCTTTGGCGCGGAGAACTAAAATGAGATTATTTACACATTACATGTTCAATGTTAGTAATAGTTACTAGTTTTGATAGTTTAAATTTGGGTAGTAAGACTATAAAATATGAGATTATTCAAATTTCAGTAAACTTAATTGTCTGATTTAAAAAATCTGGACATTATTTATGAAACGCCCTCTTAGTTTTACAATTCACTCACAGTACACTGTGGGTGTACTTACAGGGAGGGTAATTGTGCTTACTAGCACTGTGATTTCGTTCAACTGAAAATTTTGATAGTTTGCATTTTAGTTGAGTAAAACATTAAGTAATTTACATAATATCAGTTAGCCGTAAACACTAAACCAATAAAAACGTAATTACTCCATTAATATTATACTATTATATAGCATATACATATAGGCATTGCTACACGTACGTAGTATACCTCGTTTCGCGCGCGGTGGCCGCTAATATAAGTGATAACTATAACTATAAAAAGTATACTTGTATCACTATCACGTCGTGACCCCCACTGTCGTTTCACTGTACCCCTGTTATGTAGAGTTTCTACGATACAGGTGGAGCCGCGCACTCGTGCGCGGCGGGTCATACAATGTATGACAAAGGTATACATTATTCAAGGTGTACCGTGTAGCAACCATTATATACTAATCATGCTATAATGCTTTATAACCATGTTTACCTTTAGCTCCGTCCTCAAGCTCGTTAATCCCAGCGTTAATGACGTCTGGAACTAGCAGTATCAGCAGAGCAGCAATTGTCAAGTGAAACTGTTTCATATTATCACTTGCTACTAACGAGATGTTACAAAGGAAAGTGAAACTGTTTCATACTAGTACTTGCTAATGCTACTAACGAGATGTTACAAGTGAAAGTGAAACTGTTATTATATTTCGCGACATAAAATCTCATTGCATGCGATCCTCTGGGAACTAATCAAAACAACATGAACAAAATAATAAAATGAACAACAATGCTCCTTCGCAAATACTTTAATAGTTTACACCCCTGATGATAGTAGAGAACTTTTGAAGGAAACAACTTCACCGGTCAAGAAGCCATGTTATAATTGTTATAATTATATCAATATGCAAACTAGAAGCAAAATGAGATGATGATTAATCACTCTACACTCGACTGTCACGTGATATTTTAACACGTTCTCTGGGTGGCCCTGAATGACTATTCGAAACTTTAACCCTCTAATCTGATCCCAATCCTAACAGTAACCCTAACTCAATCCCTAACTGAAGTATATACTGAAATAAACCCTAACGAGAAATTTGACCAAATTCCTTAAGCTTTTAGTTATACTTATATGGTCATATGACGTGATCGAGAATATGGGCCGTGGGGTGATTCGGAACCAGAAATTAAAAATACATCGTTTCAAATAGGTTTCAAAAATCGAGTGTACAGTAATTAAGGGCCGGGGTTCACCCTGATTTTTTTTGAGAAAATTGGTTTCGAGATAGCAGTTGACCAACAAACTAGGAGTAGGAGTAGGACCAGTGATAGAACTTTTGAGAGGATCCCGGACCCCAACTGCATGCAAAACGGTGCCCGCGGGGCAGCCACGCCCATATTTGGTCCAAGCTATACTAGGCCCAATTTAGCCAAATAAAATACCCTGAACATTTGCATTAAACATTACAAAAATTTGGCGGCCAAATTCTAAAATTTGCTGTGCATTTTTTAGAATTAAGCCGCCAAAGGCCTAACTCAAAATTCCACTACAAGGTCGCAAAAATAAAATTCGATTTTAAAGTACGTTGATTCTGAAAATTTCATGAAAAATATTGAATTTGAAACCCTATTGAGTTCTACTGTTTTGAGCGAAATCAGTTTCGCAAATATCGCGAACTAAGATGTGAGATATGGGCGATTTTTTTTCATTTTTACTATTATTTGAACACCGAATCCACAGTTATAAGTAGATATTGAGCTGATAATTGTAGAGAATGTGTAGTTAAGCTTTTTAGTTTTAGCCCATAATTCTCAGTCATTTCTTGCCCCATCTTAATGAAAATTCACATACGAGTCTAGGGGACCACTAGCTACATTACAAGTTGAGCACCTAAAACCTGGGTTTTGGGCATGTTCAGGGTATTTGGCTAAATTTGGCCTATAATTTGGCCTATAATTTGGCCTAGTTTTTTATAACTAGGACCAAATATGGGCGTGGCTGCCTCGCAGGCACCGTTTGGCGGTTGGCATGGGGTCTGAGACCCCCTCAAAAGTTCGGTCACTGGTCCTAGTTTGTTGGTCATCTGCTATCTCGAAACTGAGTTTCACAACAAAAAATCAGGGTGAACCCCTTTTAGGCATGGCACGCTTGGTAAAATTAAAAAGCACTTTATTTAACAGTAAAAAAAACTGTTACGTAAAGCTGGAATTTAGACAACAATTGAAAAAAAGATCATTCGAATTCGGAATTTGGATGACAACACATCCCAACACCCTTTATACACTTCCAACCGCCCAAATCTAACGATGAGAAGCTATTATCATCCGTGATTAACCCAAAAAGTACCACAAAGTTCTTTTTCTGGATCATATTTTTTTCTAGTTCCTTCGATCGGAGGTGGAACCATGAAATTGTATACTGAGGAGCTGACCTAGTATACTTTAATAGTGGTATATGCCGTGATATACGTGCTTTTACGTGGGAAGAATAGGGTTTTAGGAATTAGACTGCATAGACTGAGCTTTTCAAAGTATTCGTTCATGATGCTGTCAGACGGCAATATTATCTGAAAGAAAATTTGACCGTAAAAAAGTGGAGATATCACAGTGTCTGGCAAGCAATGCTGGCAAACATGAAGCACGAACATTTAGTTTTACACCTGGCCTAAATTTTCTTTATTGATTTATTTTTAAATTAAAAATCATCAAAAGCCGTTCAGCAGGTTTATTTTCAGTAACAAAGCAAAATTGTAATTCAACTTTAAAGATGACGCGAATAAAAATAGCTTTGTAATTACTTCGTTAGTTTAGATCCCTGTATTTTGAACGAGAAGTCGATTCCCAGAGCAGCTCACGATCGAGAGAGCCGAGACACAACTCGCATATTCTCCTACTGCCTATAAACTTATTCGATTGGATGGCTACTTAAATGTAACTGCGCTAAACTTGTTCGATTGGATGGCTACTTAAATGTAACTGCGCTAAACTTGTTCGACACAAATTTATTATTGTCTATTTTTTAAAGTAACTACACATTTTATTAACAATGAATTTGAGTTGGTTTTATTTGTACTCTTAATTAAAAGTAGCTGGAAATCCGGACGTCCGGGGGAGGGGTGGTTTTGAAAATTCGGACACATCCGGACAGGGGGAGGGGTGGTCTGAAAATCTGCGATTTTGTCGGATTTCCTAAGTAGATGGCCTCTAGATCTATATTGTGGCAATGGCATAAACTAGTTTAAAAGTTGAAAAGTTGAAATTTGCACACGTGGGGACCAAACAGGGACAAAAGGAAATCGCGGCATGTAACGAATCGCGATTTTTCCCATTATTTGCTTCAAATTTTATGTATAGTTTAATGTATAGTCGTTAAAAATCGCGGTATCGCGATTTTTGGAAAATAATCGCGAAATCCTTTTGTCCCTGGGACCAAATCGATCAAAAATCGTTAAGATCACTGAAAATTGCCATTATCGCGATTTTGATCAACTTAGGAGTCCCGTCGTGATCAAAAATAAACGTACTACTACTACCGTAATTAAAATTTCCTGGCAAGTGGTTAATTTTAGTGAAACAGGATCAGTCTCTTTGTGCAGTGATTTCATATATTTTTAAATGTGTGACGGAAATGGTGGGTACCATCAAACAAAGTAAAAAAGTCGTATGAAACTATCTTATCAACTCGACATTCAAAAAATGTTGTCAAACACAGCAGCTGGCAGCATATCGTTATATTAAATATGACAAAGTTAGCTCAGAGGATGAGACGAGTATTTTAACCCATTATGGACGACGAGTTTTAAAGTTTGCCGATTTCGATGCCGTTTAACACACTAGGTCACATTACAGCAAAAATGAGATATCCAAAAAAGCCAATCTGTATCTCGTTTACTTTAAAAGATACAGCTATGGTCGCATACGACCCACTCGTCCGGGTCGCAAACGACCCATCACGGTTTTTCGGCTATTACTTCTGAAACAAAGACGTTAGGATAAAATAAAAACTGTAGCATAACTTAAAAACATATGGTCAATACTGTGTGACTCTAACTTTTAAAAAAGAGAGAATTTGGGTCATTAACGACCCACTCGGCTCACTTGCTTATTACTACATTTGTCCATGTAACTTCTTGAATTCAGCCTAAAACATGACATCATAAGTGCAAACTCGCCTCTCAGCAAGTGATTATCATCATAAACTGCGAAAAATCGGTTAAATGGGTCATTAGCGACCCACTAGGACCACAAAATTGATTAATTAAATATAATGTTGTCAAACTTTTACAAATATTAGTATAAAAACATATTATATCTTGGTCATTACTCCTGTACGTTGATTTAACTTCTTAAATCGATCAACTGGGTCAATAACGACCCACTCGGAAGTTGAACCACTTCATTAATTATCATGCTGTTCCACCATCAAGAAAGACACTCGTAGGTCTTAATTCTACGCAAACCACGGGTGGATGACCACTAGCCCTCCTGAGATCTGGAGTCTCAAGGTGATCTGCAGATCACGTCACCCAATCACTGACGAATAATAGGCAGAATTGGATTGATAGGTAGGTGAGTTTATCAGCTGTTAGTACACGACCGTAATGTCGTGAGACAACAAACAACGTGCCTATCTTTTCCCGATTCCTAAAAAGTCCAAGAAGAACTTTACAACTGCTGGATTCAGATTTCAGATGGCTGCATCTACTCATTTCGCAGCTTCCTTTCTTTACTTCTTAGGGGCCGTTCACATTGACATAATATTACGTAATCACTTATTGGACAATTTTTAGCCCCGCCCCCCCCCCACACCCCACCACATAGCTATTATGTCAAAATTACACTAGCGTAATCATTTGGAAACCCCCCTCCCTCTCGGCCGATTACGTAATACTTGGTTTCGTTTTGAAAGCTGCCTCGTTGTTGCGGGGTTATTACCCACAACGAAGTAGTTGTCTGAAAGATTGCAGGTTGCAGCACCGCCAGCCAGATGGGGGGGGGGGGGGGCTTTTTCCTTGTCCTTCTTCACAGAGCTGTAGATTTAGCCATCTGAATGCAGCAGTTGTTTAGTTATTCTTGTACTTTCTAGGAATGTCAAACAGATTGGCATGTTGGATTAGAATATGCAATTTGACCGCTCTTCTTTCAGTATTTACCCAAGGTTACAGGATATCTCGTAAACTTCGTTCAGGGGATTTTTCTTGAGTGACATGATCTGATCACCGTGGGACCCTGGGTCTCAAGCGGTGGGTTGTAGCAGGTCGTTTACCAAGATTCGAAATTGACCAAAAAGGTAACAGAATCTAATAAGCAACAACAACAGCATGGCTATTACCTAGCAAGTTAGGAACGAGGGCCGATCTCCTTTTCTTTTGCGACACGGCCACGGTCCTTTCGGTACAGATTTCCACGCACCATAGTCAGGACGCAACTCCAGGCATATGCAGTCGTGTTATTCTCGCAGCTCTTTGATGAGTGATGACTGCCCTTCCGTTGGCCCTGGATCTCAGAAGGGCTAGTTGTCAGCCACCGTGGTTTGTGTGGAATTAAGACCTACGAGTGTCTTTCTTGATGGTGGAACAGCATGATAATTAATGAAGTGGTTCAACTTCCGAGTGGGTCGTTATTGACCCAGTTGATCGATTTAAGAAGTTAAATCAACGTACAGGAGTAATGACCAAGATATAATATGTTTTTATACTAATATTTGTAAAAGTTTGACAACATTATATTTAATTAATCAATTTTGTGGTCCTAGTGGGTCGCTAATGACCCATTTAACCGATTTTTCGCAGTTTATGATGATAATCACTTGCTGAGAGGCGAGTTTGCA